AAGGCAGGGGGAAGGCAAGCCTCCTTCTGTCCTTATATTGTATCCAGGCTACTGCGATTAGGGCAGTGCCAATCCAATCAGTGGACTGTTTGAGTAATCACCCACCCTTAATCCTAGCACCCATAATCCTAGCATTGCACCATGAATCAGTCACACTACGTCACCCCCCTCTGAAAAAGCCCCACCTATGGCTGCATGAGGCTTTGCGGGGACATCTAGACACAAGCCATAACTCTGAGTTTAGAGGGATTATTAAAAGTGAGCACTAGGGAGGGGAAGAAGAGGCCTTAGGGAACCTGTCCCATAGTAAGAGTCTGGCCAGGTACAGGAATGAAGGGAGTTCAGATAGACACCGGACTCGGGGCACGGATCTGAGTTTTCATATGTGGTGAGACTGCTGTGTCGTCCCTCATTGATGGTGCAGAGCTGGAAGCCTGTGCAGAATCAGAGTGAACTCCGCTGGGCATTCATGCACGTTCTGTCCCTCTGTGTGCTTTAGATGGGTCGTTCACTTGATAGAGTATCTTTGATTTTTTTGGAATTAACTTGTCTCTAACTCACCAAGAAGAAGTAATTGAGAGGGTTCCATCTGTGAAAAATGAAGTAAATATCATTTGTGTTTCAGACCTTAAGTTCATCCTGTAAATAAGCTAGTGCAGGAGCGAATGCGTGTTTTTTGAACTAAGGCTTTGACTATAAAGAGCTTTTTCCCTCAGTGAACCCTTTCTACCTTAACGCTTTCCAAATGCCTGTGAGCACAACACACTGTCAGATTTCCGGGTGTGGAAATTAGTTTGCATAATAATGAACTTCAAGGTCAGTTTCTTATATACTGTGCTGTTTCTCCCCTTTAGAGTCAAACATGCCTTTAAGGAAGCACATGTACCATACAATCTTGGGTTTAATACTTAGCCTTTCTTTTAGTGTACTTGAGTAAGAAGTCAAAATTGGAGCCAGAAGTGGTGCTGAAGCCATCACAGTTAATTTCCTCAGAGCTGTTCTGTCCCCACGCCCTGCCTGGGTTTCGCTCAGGTTCATCCTTGTCTTCTCATCTGGCCTGCCAGCTCCACACTGTATTCTGAGTCAGAGGGGTGAAAACTAGAGTAAAACCACGCAAGCCTTTTACAGCTCTGATCGCATCGTATTCTTCTCCTTGTCACATTCCGTTCTTCTTTGTAATTATATATTTTAGTGTTTACTGCTTTCAATGTCTCCTTCTCCCATTACACGGGAACATAAGTAACATCTTTATGAAAACAACTGTTTTCCCCAAAACAATTCAGTGAAGAGTGGTGGTGTTTAAAGTTTTCCCAGTATTTTTAATTTGTGACTTTATAGGAAGCACCTCGGTGTTAGTAGTTCTGGATTAAGTCTGGTCAAATTCATTTTTCTCTTTAGATAGATGACAAAGGTCTAGTCTCACACAGATGTATCGTAGGAAAGGGATAGAAAGTTTGAGTAGCCTTTTCAGGTGATAGTGGATGTTCTGCTTGATACCATGCCAAAATGGGCTAATTAGTCATTTCTCAGAGTTGATTGCAATGTGGGTTCTGAAGCCGTATGATGAACATCTTGTTGAACATTGGTCTGTATTAACACCTCGAATGGTGATTGTACTGTTCGGAGTATAATTGTTAAAAAAGTCATAAATGCAAAGTGGTTAAATTTTTTTTTCCATTCAGAAAATTTCCCAAATTCTTTAGGGAAATAAAGAGGCGGTTCTGGATAGCATCCACTCACATGACCGGGAAATGAAAGAAGGGATCTGAGATACACACACCCACTACCCCACAATTAGTCACTCCGTTTGGGACTGTTCTTGTCTCAGAAGGGTACCTTACATGATCGCAGTACGCTGAGCTTATTCAGGCTTTGTCTTGTGTGTTTAACTTCTCTTGAAAAATAAAATCATACTGAGCCATCAGGCTTATTTTAATGGTCTTTTCCCCTCTTCTCGTTGATGTGATACATTCACAACCTGAAATTCGGTTAGCATCAGTGCCAGGTTGGTTGAAAAATAAAAAGGTTATTAACTTCTTAGCTTCAGGGCACGAGATAATTGAATGAAGGAGGTTAGAAAAAGATCCTTCCCTTCTGCAGTGTGGCAAAACACTCCACAATCAGCTGGGAGCATTAATAATTTTTAAAGTTCTGTATGTAATCAGCAGTAAAATATTATGTGATTTAAAAATACAACCACAATCATTAGCTGTGTTGCATTCAGATTTGTTCTCTTGCTTTTGTGATTTTAATCCTGAGATTAGTCTGTTGAATGCTGTCTTCTCATATGCTAGACTATAGCCAGAGAGCTTCAGCACAGTAAATATGCAAGGGAAAAAAGACGGGAAAAGCAAGTCATCATGTTGACAGTAGTTACCTTGGGGTAGTGAGCTGACTTTTGATTTCTTTGTCCTTTGCAGACATTAATTACAGAATTTTTTATTGAGTGTATATCAAGCATTGTATTGAGTCTGCGGTTTAGAACAGAGAAAAAAGCTCCTGCCCAGTCGTATCCTCAAAAATGTCAGTTTTAATATTTCCCGAAAGTGTGAAATACCTCTCTCTGTAACATGACAAATATAATAAATACTATAAGTCAAAATGAATTTAAAAAGTGACTGGCCTTCTGTTGTTTCCCCAGTGCGTACAATTTGGAGACGGTTTCAAGGTCCAGTTACCTTAAGTATCACCCGGGAAATTTCTTCAATGAGCCTTTCTTTGAGTGAATTGAAGCCTTAATGTTGGACAGAGAATGTATAGCAGCCATTTTCCTGGGCTGTATTTCCAGGGGTGTTTGAGTTGTAATAATTCTCCATCTGTAGGATCTAAACCACAACCAGGACCCATGAAAGGACTGTGTACCTGGATGGACCCTCTACTCTTGCTGCTAGTTAAGGTTTGTGGTTCACCTAGAAAGTAGATCAAAGCAAATGACAGTAGAGTTTGGAAATTGGCTGTGTCCATGGCCTAAATAACTAGGACTTTGGAAAATACACATCTGTTGACAGCTCATGTGGAAGCATCTGGAAATAAACAATGAAAGAAAACTCTTTTCAAAAAGGACTTTTTTTCTCTTTGTGGATATTTCTTAGCTACTAAAAGATAATAGAATTATTATAGGTTAGGGTTTGTGTTTCTTTTTGAACAGGAAACTAGAAGAAAGGGGTGGTATCATAAGTATGGCTTTGAATGAATCATTGGTACAGCTGATCTCTTTTCTATTTTTATAAATATGTACTTTCCCAGGTTTGGTTCAGAAATCTGTGCCTCTGTAGGAAGTGTCGGTACTTTCAATATGATCAAGTGTGAGGCACTGTAGATGTGAGAGAAAAATTATGACTAATAATAAAGCAGCCAGTTATAAATTGACCAGTAGGACAAAATACAGAATCTAGAAACCACCACCAGCTATTTTACAAAGATTTATATAAAACTGATTTCTTGAGCCAGAATCCCCAGCTTTGTTTTCGATCAAGTGGAGGTTTAGAAGGTGCTGGGTAGGCCATGTGTTGACTTGACTGTCTAGAGCAACTAAATGAGGTTAGAAAAACAAAAACTGGAGCTCATTAATTTAAACTGAAAGAGACTGATGGGACAGTGATCAGAATCTTTAGCATCTTGACTGTGTAAATTGAATATGGCCAGAACAATGAGAGGCCAGTGGAAGGCTGAGACAGATTTTGAAGATACCTAATAGAAATACTATTTCCACCAGGTAGTAAAACTACGGAACTGAGTAGCTCAGTAGGGACGGCAGAACATACAGAGGGCGTGACTAAAAGGCTGACTGTGATTTCTTCAAAAGAGTGAGGTGGTAAGAACTGGTAATGTGCATCTTTTGGTGGTGTTGATTACTTGATGATTCCCTACGTAGGAAAGAGGGTGTAGAGAAGAGGAATTAAGGCAGGAGAGTAAGGTAAGGAAAGGAAAACTCTGGGTGTGTGTTCACAAACAGATGGTTACAACCCTGCCTACCAAAACCAAAATGATGGTGGCCTTACAATAATAAAGTTTTAGCTCTTTCCTTCTTTATATTGTTAATGTGTCATATGAGGCTTTTATGAAGAACTTATATATTTTATAAATCAGAAAAATGTTAGTTTCATACTTGCATTAAAAATAAATGGGAAATACAAGATGCAATGAAGTTAGAAATTTTCTGGGTTTGTAGCTCTATTATAAATGTGGAGATAAAGTATTGAAGTATTTTGCACAGCTGTCTAGGAGAAGGCAGCCCTGAACATGTGCCTCCCATGCCAGTGCTAGGATGGCTTTCCCTGTGGACTTCTGATTGGCCTCAAGGTGCCGGTTTGCGCTGTTTCATATATAGCTCAAAAATGCACTGCTAGACAAGGTGACTCATTTTACTTACTGCTCAGCATGGCCTCTTGCTTCTGTACCTGCCATCTTTGTAAACTCCTCTCCCCAGCAACCAGATTTTTAAAAGCTAAGTCAAAACTTGACCCAAAATCATCCAGTGGTTTGTCATCTCATTTAAAAAACAAACCTGGAATTTTCACAATGGTCTGCAAGGCCTGACCTAACACCCTTCTACCCACAGACCTGCTGGTGGTATCTTATATCCACCTCCAAGTCCCAGGTCTGTCTGCTTCCCTCTTCCCGGGCATCTGCCTAGCTTATTCCTTAGGACTTCCTTCAGGTCTCTGTGCAGACGTTTCACTACCCAGCAGGTGGCCTCTGGCTCTCCTTTCTAAAGTGTTACCCATCTCTTCCCTTCCTCTTCACTTTGTCTTCTTGTGCCCAGTTTCAACGTCCTTGCTTCTTATTGCACCCGATATATGTATTTATTTGCATATTTCATGACTAGCAACCTCTACCAGAATGTAATCTCTACAGGAAATCACAAGAGGTAGCCTTCTCTCCTTCAGCAGTGCCACTGCTGAGCCCTCTAGGGTGATACCTGACGTGGCGCAGGCAGCATCAATGCATACCTCGTGCCTCATGTCTCCATTTCATGCTCTGATATTTTTGCCTTGCAGGGAAGTCGTTACATTCAACCATTTCCTGGAAGCAGCAGCTGAGAAGGAGGTTCAAGGCAAAGCTCGGCTCCAGGACTTCATCGAGAATCTGTTGCAGCGGGTAGAACTGGCAGAAAAGCAGCTCGAGTACTATCAAAGCCAGCAGGCCTCCGGCTTCAGCTGTGACATCAGTGAGCACTTGGTGAGTCCCACGCGTCCAGCTTCTGAGCAAGTGGACAGGGAGAAGGGGTCAGGCGCAGTGGAGAGGGAGCCGGGTGGCCAACAGGGCCTCCCTAGTCATCACGGGAAAGCTCTGCCTGCTGCACAAGAGATGCCTGGGCATCTGGAAGGAAGCTAAACCCTGGATGCCCTTTTCATTTCTTCCCCCTCCTTCTCTGTGGCCTGCAGAATTGGTGGAAATACTTTTATATTTGTACAATGATGGAGCTTTAAGTGACCAAAGAAGTTACTTATTCTAACATGGATATTTGGGTAGATTGGAAGCTGGCCTGTTTTGGAGCTCTTTTAGAAGAGTCTCATGAACACTCTGACCCTTCTCTCTAGGTAAAGCAAGATCCCTCCAAACACAGTTTATTTTTCCTTAGTATGGACTGTTGATGCTGTTCAACAAGGTCAATAGGTGAAACATTTTTTAAGTAGGGATTGAAAAAAGAAAACAACAAATTGAAAACAATCCCAGGTGATAGGTACGCTAGATTTCTGTGTACTGTTTTACATACAGGGTTATGACTTAAAAACCCCCAGAGCCAATCTGGGTGTGGTGGCACATGCCTATAATCCCAGCAGTCTGGGAGGCTGAGGCAGTAGGATCTCAAGTAGGGCCCAGCCTGGGCAACTTAGTGAGATCCTGTATCAAAATAAAAAATAAAAAAGGCTGTGGGTATAACTCAGTATAAAGGCCAATCCTCGGTACTGGAGAAAAAGTCAAAACAGAGCCTATGTAAGAACTTTGGATGTGGGTAAAGATCTAGATTCTCATAAGTAGTTGACTGAGACTTCTTGGTCTCTTGAGAGCATGAGAGCAGGCACAAAGGACAACACTGTAGGTAAGGGGCTGTTGGCCTATCTGTCTGTCTGTTTATCTATCTTAGTACGTGTTGTTGAACATCATGTTTACATTCCTCGTGGGAGGTTGGTCCATGTTATGGAATAGGTCCATGTTATGCATTGGTCCACTGGTTGCATGTTATGTTTTATACATACACCAATTGCCCATTAGGAGTGTAAACACCATATTGAAAAATATGAACAAAGAAAGAGAGAGGGAATCAAGAGAGGGATGGAGCAAAGGGGAAGGGAAAGGAGATGGAAAAAGGAGTGAAGAGGTATTAAATGTGATCATATTGGAACTCTATATTTCCTTGGTGTGATTAAAAACAACAGGCAAAGCAAGGGTTTTTGATACCCCAAAGTGGTTTTCTAAAACAGCATATTCATTGTTGAACCTTTTGTATGCTTATCTCCTTCCCAGAAGATTAAAACAATATTCTTTTCTTCTCAGGTGGACTATATTAAAAGGAAAAGAAAAACATAAAACATTTTGCTAACTGAAAGATTAGCAAGGCTGGTTAACTAATAAACATTACTTTGAAGTTCTGGAAGTCAAGATTAAAAGCATGTGTGATTATATAGTACAACAAAGCCGGAAAGAGGAACGAGATGACAGACAGTGTGGGTAAAAGATGACAGGTAGACAACAGGAGGGAAAGGAGAGAGGGAAGAAGGAAGGAAAGAAATGAAATCTTAAAAGCGTACACTCAGCGTTAGAGCCGTACTGTGAGGCAAGTCCCAGAACTTTCTAGAACAATAGTAGACTGGACGGAAGCAAATTTATTACATCTGTGAGGCTTCAGCACTGCGTTCGGGGCAGCTCATCTGTGTGACAAATCTCATATTTTCTGGGTGCGTGCCTGCAGCCTTCCGCATGTAATGTTTCTTAGGGGAGCCGTCACTCCCCAGTTTAATCCTGTTCTCTCTCTTCTAGGAAACTGTGAATGTCCAGTCTTCACTAGCTCTAGTTGGAGGGACAAAGCCATCTCCTGCCTTCTTCTTTCACCTTTCTCTCCTTGGAGAGAGCTGTGGCTTGAGGTCATAGAGTCCAGATGTGAGGTAGAAAGGCCTGGCTTCCTTACATCCTTACCTTGATTCTCACTGGGAGAGACAGTTTATCTTCTGGGCTCTATGATTCCTCTGGAAAATGAAGAGATTGAATTCAGTGCTAAGTTCTAATTATCCTGACTTTGATGGTTGGGAGTTTTTTCTTTTAAGTATTAGAAGAGCTGTGTGTAGTGGTGCACATGTATAATCCCAAGATTCAGGAGACTGAGGCAAGAGGATTTCTGTGAGTGCAAGTCTAGTACAGGCTACATAGTGAGTTCAAGGCCAGCCTGAACTACATAGTGAGACCTTGTCTCAAAAGAAAAATTTAATTTCTGGAGCTTGAACCCAGAAGTGCTGTACCACTGAACTACATTTTTTATTTAACTCTAACTTACAACCCTTCTACCTCAACCTCCTAAGTAGCTAGGATTATTATGGTTGGGAATACAAAAACTGAAATATAATGTAGCATTAATGTTTTTGTATTATGCTAGTAAGTCACCCAAAGCTAAAATAATGTGTGAAATCCTGCTGTACTAAACCAAGAAGACTCTTAAAGACAGAAGAGTGGAAGAGGAGGAGGAAAAAAAAGAAACCATTTGTTATTTTTTTCATATATTTATTTACTCATTTCCCCTGCTCAATTAAATTTTTGCACTTTGAAAATTGAATATCTTTTGAGGCATATAGCGTGATTCTCATTACACTATATCATGTCATCAGAAGTTAAGTAGCATTTCAGCTGTTTGTCAGATGCATATACACAAAATTTTATGTGTACATATACAACATACATATACTTATACACATATATATATGCATTTATACATGAATATATTTATGTAACATTCATTTAAATACATTCAAATATGGTGAGGAATAAGTAAGTATTAATAACTAATATTTTGTATGACTCAAACATGAGTTGATCTGCCTTCGGCTGACTTGCTCTGCCTAAGAGCTGACTCACACAAATGAATGGAGTATAGTTAAGATTGTCTTGAGGGATGGCAAAGCTGGGTGTGAGTGGGGCATGATCAAGGCACTGTCTGACTTGGATCAAATAAATATGGCCCTGGGAAGGCCAAGAACTCAGTGTGTGTTCTAAAAGGGTTGGGGTGACATAGTTTCCTCCATTCCCGTGTATGAGGTGTGATCACCAAATACAGTGACTGTTTAATTTTTAAAAAATTATTACAGTAAAGGACATATTGCTTTAATCCCTCTCAAAATACACCTGCTCATTTTGAATGCTCTTATCCCATTGTTCTTACCATGTTCTGAAAAAGTTCTCATACTCCTTTCATAAACATAATCAATTGCACTGTTATGGCTGCCTTGTTGTCCTGAATGGATTCAAAATGGTTACCTTTCATGCTCGCTTTGATTTGGGGGAGAGCTAGAGGTCCCGCAGTGCCAATTCCAGTGGATAAGATGGATGGGGGCACACCCTGATGTTTTTGTGAGCTGCCTTTCTGTTAGATGGCACTTGGCAAGATATTCACCGTTTCTTATTACGTCTTTTAAAGACACCCATGGAAGAGGACTTCCAGAACTGCTTCAGAAAGTGCTGGGATAAGTGTGTTTGAAGGGGGCCGGGGATATCTCAGTGGCACAGCACCTGCCTGGCAAGTATGAGGTCATGAGTTCCATTCCCAATATCAAAAAGAAAAAGTGTGTTCAAAGGGAGAAGGAATATTTCCACAAGGGTTAGTTAATTTTCAGGAGGCCATGTGTGTTTGACTATAATACATTTTTAATTAAACATTCACCTTATATTTTGATCCACCACCTATAGTCCTCTGTCCTGCATTGGACCATAGTATTCCACACAGGACAAAGACTGCAAATGCTTTTAACAGAGAAAGCTTTGAACCATGTGTTTGATAACCTATTTGGTTCAGCTTAGTGAAGCTATAGCATGTCCAGAAAACCAGGATGCTTGTCCCAGGTCCTGCAGGCCGAGCAGACATCCTGCTGACTTTCCTGTCTCTAGTCCCTGCTCACACACCTGAGCTCCCCCCAACAGAGGAGTCAGGAAAACCACCCCCAGCCCAGCGCGCAACCTCTCCACCTGGGCTGTGCTGCAGAAATCACATGGGTCTCTTTCATCTCCCTCCTCACCTTCACCTCACTTCCCTCCCCTTCTTCTTTTTCTGATGACCCCTACAGAGAGCAGGGCAATTACTAGACTGACCCATGAGTTCCTTCTTTCCAAAGGTGACTTTTAGTGTTGCATTCTTCTGTGCTATGGAAAAATTCCCTTCCCCTTGGACTTAACGCCTTTTCTAAAATAATGTTTTGGCATCCATATCTTTCCCTTTGTCCCCTGGAGCATTTATGTTCTTTTTCACCTGACTGATTTCTAAAAATACAGTATGCTTACTCAGATATTTTATCTTTATGCTCTGAAAAATGCTGTCGAATTAGACACAAAGTGACCTAATATCCCATCTGCCAAAATCACTCACAGAACTGCTCGGAGGGAAGGTCACAGAACAGCTTGGATAATCTTGTTTTAAGCGTTGCATTTATTTCTTGCAGGTTGCTAATTTGAGAACAGCAGTAATTCACTTAACGCATATTTATTGGGGACACAGAGCTCACTGCATGCAGTAAGAGGAAACTGCTTGTAAGCTAGTTAGATAGGGTCCCTGCTCTCATTGAGGATGAGAACACAGTATAGATGCAAATAAAGGAAGACAACTTCATGTAATGGCAGTCGCTAGAGAGACAGGAAGTAGGATGCATGTCTGAAGGCCTCACTGTGGAGAGCTGCTTTAGACTGGGTGGCCAGGAAAAGCCTTGCTGAGGAGGCAACATTTGCATCGTGACCTGAACGGCCGACAGGAGGCAACTCTGAGGAAAGATGGCAGTGGAATGTTGCAGGCAGGGAAGAGGCAGGCGCAGCAGGAGGGAACAAGCTTGGCATGGCTGAGTGCTAGGAGATGAAGTCAGTTGTCCTGGCCCAGCAGGAATTTGGATTTATTCCCCAGAACACAGGGAAGCCACTGGAAGGTTTTCAGTAGGAGGTCATCTGTGTTTCAGCAAAACCACTCTGGCTCCTCTGTGGCAAGGACTGGAGAGGGGCAGGCGCGGCTGGTGGGGTAGGAGGCCGGCATGAAGTGAGCGGGGTGGGAGCTGGCGGAGAAGTAGATGAGGCACTGAGAAATGGTGGCTGTAGGATGTGTTCTGGGTGCAGAATTGACGAGACTTTGCTGAAGGATTAGATTAGTTTATGAGGGAAAGAAGAATCAAGGATGAATGCAGGGTTTCGTCTCAGCAGGTAGGTGTGCGGTGCTGCTGTGTGCAGAGGAGAAGTTGGAAGAGAGCCAGGGCTCCAGTTCTTCCGAGCCTGTAACAGCCCAAAGCACCACATACCTATTGTAGTGTAGTCGGCCTCCATATCCGTGGGTTCCATATGCGTGGATTCAGTCAACCTTGAATTGAAAATATTTGGAAAAAATGGAACATGTGCAGACTTTTTCTTCTTATCATTATTCCTTAAGCAATACAGGATAACAACAATTTACACTTATACTATATTAGATATAAGTAATCTAGAAATAATCAGCACCTATAGTAGGATATACACAGGTTATATGAAAATACAAGGCTACTCTATAAAAGGGACTTGAGCATCTACGGATTTTGGTACCCTCAGTCGGTCCTGGAACCAGGCCTCCTCAGATACCAAGTATGTCCTGACCTTGTGAGCCCAAACATCAAGGTGGCCCTTTCTCCACACTTTCCTTGTTATTTCTCCTGTTCGTCTGCCTGCTGATGTGACATCAGTTTGTCTAATGAAAGCTCCATGAGGGAGGTCAGGAACTGGAGGTTGGGAATAACCTAGGTCACTTTATAATCCGTGTAGTGACATCGGGATCAGGAAATGATAATTACCAATTTAATCTGCAGGTGAAGGCAGAGTCCAGCCACGAAAGTGCATGCAGATATTTTATTGCCTGGTTATTAGGAGTGGAAAGTAATCTCAATGGTAGATAGCCCTTTGATGTTTGTGGGGTTAGTCTTAAGATGTTCTCATTTTAAATATGATTCATTCTAGGCACGCAACTTCTTATACCAATTTCCTTTCAGTGAATACTTTGTGACCAGCCACAGCTGTAGTATGTTAGCTGGAAATACAGCCTGATCACTGAAGAAATAATGGTACATCAGCCCAGTTTTAAAAAACATATTTCTTCCAACATTGATCCGTTGGGAAGCTTTTTAGCTTTTATATTTTCAAGACCTGCTCATGTAGGCTTCTTAGAAAACAGAACAGGTGCCCACAGAGGCACCCTGGGTAAGCAGAGTCTGAGACACACCGATGTGATGGGTGATGCCCTGGGTAATGCTACCAGTAGCAGTTTCTGACTTCCTGACTGTGAATTCAATTGCTTACACAAGAAAGATATTTAAAATCAAAGCAAGCCATCAAATTAAGTAAATTTTTGTACCTGTTTTCTTTCAGTTTACAGATATCTCCTCCAATAAGAAACCCAAATGCCTGTATGTATATCTTTTTATACTTGGGCCATTTGATAATATTTGTATTGTATGTTTCCCTGTTGCTTTTTATATATCTGTCATATAGATAGATTTGATGGGCTTAGGTGAAAATTTACCTGCATGTGTATCTAACTGTAAAACATTTATGTGACTTTCAAATAAGAAATCTATGAGACCATGATAATGCTAGAGTAGTGTTTCACAGTATTATATAGTGACCTTTCTCTTGTTGAGGTATATTATAATAGCTGTGTAGTACTATCATTGTAATAGGCATACTACATTACTTGTGTGAATTATAAACTTTAATATATGCAGTGGATTTTTCTGAGACCCCAGTAGTGACTTAAAGAGCGGAGAGACATGGGTTTTGGTTCTGCCTTCTCTTTAGACCAGCTATGTGTACTGTTCTGGGGGATAGTAGTCATTTAAATTTTCTGTGCCATATTTTTGTTACCGGTGATAGGGCTAGTAATATTCCCTGGGGATTTAGTGCCCTGTGAGCATTTCATGGGAGTCATGGGAACATTTTGGAGGAGAAATGCCAGCATCTACGATTGTGTCAGGGGGCATGATCACCACTAGGGTGTGCAGAAGTGGTTGTAGACAGGTATTTATTATTTTTTAAGGGTTAAAAAAAATCTTTCTGACTGCTTATCTTTCCTCTGCTCCCATTCAACCTCTGCAGAAGCCGAGTCCATCCCCATTCAATGTGCAACCACGCTGATCTCAAGGCCCATCTCCACCCCAAGGGAAGGAGCCACCTGAAGAAGGCCAGGGACGACCGAGGCAGCGTGCAGCCGGCCAGGGCCACACACGAACAGGCCGAGTCCTCACGAGACCTCTGCAGACTGCTGGGCCGGAAGGGCAATGTCAGACCCAAAATGGCTAAAAAAAAGCCAACAGCAATTGTGAACATCATCTGAGAGGAGAGGTGAGGGGAGGGTCTGGACTCCCCCAACCGTTCCAGGGCCAAGATCGTTGTCCTTTTGGACACTTCCAGTAGGGTGTATCGGGTAAGCAGAAGGCATAGCACACCCAAGTGTCCGGTTAACCAGAATCAAACAGAGGGGAATCTCAGTGAACCAGGATTTTGTCATCACCCTGCTCCCTTTTAAAAGCAAGGGCAGATCACAGAAAGAATTTTTAAAAATTGAAACAATCTAATCCTAAAGGTTTAGCAAAACAGAACTTCAGCCACGAAGGTAATGGGTCTGGTCTGTAGCTGTCCTGGATTCTGGGCTTCCACACAGAGGTCATTAGTGCTGGTGACCAGGGCCACACACAGACATCAGATGCTGGGAGAAAGGTCATCTGTGCCTACTGCCTTCTAAATTGTGAGGCAAGGAAGGGACATGTACGGTCTAGTAAAGCAGTGAAATAATATTTCTGTTCGTGTTTAGCCCTCCCCTGAGTTAATGTGAAAGCCTTCACAATAACAGTTCATTCCCCCCTGAGTGCTCTGGTTAATCAAGATTTTAATGTCTGAGGATGCTTACGGGACTTGCTCAGTCAAAATTCAGTTTTCATTCTGGCAGATTGCTTTTCAGTTTGTTTGATTCAGGTTTTTCTGTGTCCTTGAATGCACGTTTGTTCAGATTTTGATACACTGTGCTGTCTTTTTTGGCTAAGTATTCTGCACCCTCCAACCATCCTGCCAGCCTTGATAGCTGCTTCCAGGCTGTGGTCTGGGAGGACCCTGAAGCCCTCTGATCAGCTGGCGGCATTTTGCTGCTGTGCCCAAGTGCTTGGAGTACCAGTAGATGGCGCTCTTAGGGCTTTGGTTCCATTCAGGAGGCACTGTAGATCGCGCCCAGCCCTGTCCTAAGACCTGCTTTCTGGGTAGTGCCAACAGCTTGCTCGTTGAATTGTGGGCATGACTTTCTCTTCACTAGCATAACTTTTCAACCAGCTGCTCACTTTGTATCTGGCCGCTTCTGTGTCGTTTAACAACTTAATATACTTTCTTACCTTTCAACCATCCGGCGTATTCACTGTACAGTGCATTTTAAAGTAATTTCTGAAACAAACAGTGCATGTAGGGTTCAAAATCTGATACTCTCCTCTCTCAAATGGCTTTTGTTTCTATGAAGGAATATCTTTGAGCAATCTCCCACTTTAAAATTTTCTTCTAGAATGAATTGTCATGTATTTTTCATTACATTTAGCAATATCATCAGGTCTTATGCAGAGTGTACAAGTGCTGACATCCCTCTAGAGACAAGATAATTTTGTCCACAAATATATATATATATATATATATAACATATACATATATAACACACAAATATATGTCAAGTATATTAATAATTTATTTTTAAATACTTATGGAGAAAGTGTGTGTTTATGTTGGGTGGTCTTAAAACTACAAAAATTTAGCGCTTGGTTTGGCAGCACATATACTGAAAAAAACTATGTAAGTTTGTTCATGTAAATTGAATTTTCTGTTTTAAAAATTAAAACTTTAACCTAATTAACATTAGTAGATTTATGATTGTTATTGATGTAAGCATTATATTAGCTGTACATTAAATTAGGTAACAAAGCAATTACTTAAAATGCCAGTAAATTGAAAACTGTAACATCATTTTCAAATATTTTGAACTTATCTTAGTGGAAATGTTGATTTTTGAGTCTTCACTTTGACTTTTGGTTTATGGGGATGGGGTATTCATGTGGTGTATAGGCAGCTATCGAGTGGGTAAAAACATTGCTGTGAATATCATATCACTGTTTAGACTAATATTGTAAAAATTGTAATGTTTATTTAGATAATTAATCGCCTCCAAAGATAAATTATTTATTACTGATGCTTATACCATTATTGCATTTTTGCCTTTTTCGTACTAAAAAAATAACGACTTGGTTATTTGCATGCTCTTTGTCCCGTAATGTGTGCAAATGACAACTTGTTTTTAAAGGTGGTACAGCTAGATTTTCTTTTCTGTTTTATTTAGAGTAACTCACCTTTTTTGGTGTTCATTTAACATGCCTAGAGGGCACGGCTGCCTCTCTGACAGTGGTACCCATTGATCTTCAGAAAACACCATAATGTCATAACTATTCTGTATACATTACACAAGACAAGTAGTATTCAAATTTATTTATTAAACACTTTCCTTTTAAGTTCAGGTTGCATTCTTATCCCCATATGAAGAAATATTTTATGTGGGTTGCACTTCCTTCAAGACACAAACGTACTGTTGGAAAGTGGGAGCTGACTCACTCGGAGGGCTAATTCACCTACATGCCATGGCCCGAGCCATGTGCCATGTCCCACATATATTATGTTCTGAAATATTCTTCTTGTCCCCATGGGCAGTCAGCCTTGGAGTTGAGGCTGTTGCTAATTTGAAGAAATCACCAAAGTTTCTGGGAAAACATGTTTGAGGTTAAACTGAATAGATCAAATTTTGTTATTTGTTTTGTAAAGAAGAAATCTTCATTTGGACTGTGCTTTCTTTTTTCTTTCCTCTCAGACTAAAATAACAGGCTCTTATCTGCAAAGTTCAGATGGCTTAGACACTGTTTTCCGGTATTCTGCAGGGTCAGTTACTTGTTGTATAGAAGTTGGAATATTCTCTTCCCAAGATTAAAAAAGAAGTTTTTAGCTTATGAAATACTATGCTAATAAAGCTATATTTCTGACTAAGGTGTTGGTATTTTTTGTCTCATTGGAGTGTTTTGGGGCACCCAAGTATATTGGTCTATTAAGAGTGAACAAAATGTTCCTTCATGAATAAGCTTTCCATCGTGAATATCATCACCATGACCTTGTTGTATACCTACAACTAACTTGAAAACATAGCTCCATCATTGTTGTTCATCCTAATGTCTATGTCTCAGAGTTCCTTTTGCATATGTTCACACCAACACATCTTCATTAAAAGCCCACTTGCAGGTTTTTTTCCCCGTTTTTCTCCACAGCTGTGAGTAATTTTCCTACACTCTGTTTTTAAATTTATCAATTTTTAGTGAAAATTATGAACCGGTTTCACAGCACATGTCCCAACTTATATCTGCTGTCCATTGCAAAGCTTAGAAAATGATTGGGCTAGATACCAGGGACACATATCACTGGTGGGATCACTGACACATTGGTCTTTTAAGAACCATAGAATCACAAAAATTTGGGGGACTCCTTTGTGCAGGAGTTTCTAGAGTTATTGGGATTAGTCTGCTTTTGACACTTACCTATGTTACAGTTAATGGGCTCACCAGGCTGTAGTTTTCTGAGAAGTAGTGTGACATTCCTGATTATCTCTGGGCATGAGAAAACATAAATCCCAGGGCCAGGGATATAGCTCAGTGGCACAGCACCTGCCTGGCAAGTGCAAGGTCATGAATTCGATTCCTGGTACCAAAAAAAAAAAAAAAAAAGCATAAATCCCAATATCTTGATTCTGCTTAATCTGCATTCTTGAAAAAATGAATTCCAGAGATACCACAGATACATGATCCTAAACAGAAGCCTAAAGAACTTTCAAATATGAAAGGATGGGGAGCTTTAAAATTGGATTCTTTTTTTGTGAAATTAAGGAAGTAGATTTTCTTTAAACCCATGTTCTCTATTCATAAAATGGATACATCTGAAATTTTCATTTAACCTGTAGCCCTATGATAAACCTGCACGGTTATTATTTCAGGACAGAAACACATTTTTCCAGTAGGAGGAGCCTCCTGTATAGACAGGATGGGTTGTGGCTCCCCATGGGGACACTGATAAAGGTTGCAAATGCATATCGGGTGCCCAGAATGGTTAAGTGAAGACCTTCGTGTCCATGTCCTATGAGGAGATAGGAATGCTGTCCTCAAATATCTAAAGTGTTATCACATGCAAAAATAGCTGCTTTGTGTGGCTCCAAAAGACATTGTGAAAGTCATGAAGAGTAAGTTGTAAAGAAGCAGAAATCAAATCATTGCCAAAAAAATTTCTAAGTACACCACAGCACAGTTCACCTTACTAAAAAGTAAGTTCCTGATTTCTAATGTACTCTTCATGTGAGGTATGATTTGACATTGTTCAGAGAAGTAGACTGATTTCTTCTAAGAACATGGGTAGCCCTGGGATTCATGGTTGTATATACTGATATTAATACAAATGTTGGTCACATAAAACAATGTTGATGTGGTAAGTATATATTAGAGATTTTACTTCACTGTCTTGAGCTCTTGTAAAGTTTTCTGTAACACATATCCTCATTTATCCCTGCAGAATCTTTCTGAGGCACACAGGGATGAGGAGGTACAATTTTCTTCTTGTGGCAGGTGGAGAAATGGAGCTGTACAGGCACGGTTAACCCTGGCATGATGCGTCTCTCAGAGTGGAGGCATTTCTCCACGCTGGCGTGGTTTTAGTGTTTCCAGAGGAGGTACACTCTTGTTACCGCATGGCTCCTGAATACCAGCCAGCCATTGCATCTGGTATTGAGTGGAATCAGTAGCAATCATTTCCAACACTGGAGGAAAACTGGCAATGGTGGATATAGGGAGAAATGGTGCGTGGTTGTCAGGCTCTTCCTGGGGTATTTCCCAGTAGTTTTGATTGTACTTCAATTTTTGACTTTCTTGTGAAAATACTAAAAAAGATGACTTGATTACATTTTACAATGAAAGGAGGCTTATGAGGTTTGAAAATCTTTTAAGCTCAGGAGTCTGCAGGAGAGAACTAGAGTGAGAACTAGAACTTTGTCCTTTTGAATGTTATCCAGTGCTCTTTCATAGCTTTGAGCCTTCTCACTGGTGACAGTTCCAAGGAAATGATTTTAAATGTATCTATTGATTGATTGATTATACCAATGTTCCTGGTACTTGGAAATTTGGTTTAATATTTATTATCAGTTATTTCACTTACTTAATGCAAGCCACTGTGAATGATAGAAATGTGATTAATCTCTAGTCCATAGTCACCCTTTAAAGAAGAGCTACAACTCACCAAGGATTTGAACTTCACATCAGCACATTAGAGTTACGTGCACACCATTTTTGGACATTTCACATAGACAGTTTCCTGAGTGAGGAGAGAACACTGCATTCACCAGGACTGGATATGTCCTGGGATTCTGTTGTTATTATTTATTGGTTTGTTTTATATCAAGTTCTCCTCTTTGTGGTTCCCAATTGTTTTATAGGAAGAAATAGGAAGAAATTATAGGAAGTTATAGGAAGAAATTCTACTTTCCCTGTTTCCAGGAAGGTACTACTTTATTTTTATCCAGAGGTGTGCCTGTCACTTGACTCCATAATTTATATTTCTCATGTAATCCTAGAGGAGTGGTGGAGGAAGATTTGAAGGCAAGGCATATGCAGCCTTTAACACAAAGCAGGTTAGAGTCGGGCAAGGGCTGGAGCACCCACGGGTACTGGAATGAGAGACGACGCCTGTAACTCACCCTGCCTGCTCTCACTCGCGCCTGCCTCTGCCCGTCCCTGCCTCACCGCTTTCCTATGGCCTTGCGCCTCCTGCCTAGAGTGCTCTTCTCCTTCATTGGGTTAATCCTGGATTTCAGCTCAAGTGTCACTTCCCCAAGGCAGCCTCAAAATCTTCAGAACACACTGGGCCTTTTCCTTGCAGGACCGACTCCAGGAGTGCCTTTATATCAGGTGTGAAACCTGACTCGTACCCACCCTCCACATCGGTCTGTCATTTACGCAAACAAGGGCCCACGTTGTCCATCCCTTGCATTTTTGCCTTGTTGTCCGCCCTGTTACCAGGTGTAGTCCCTAGCTGGGATCCTCAGTAACTGCAGAGTACGTGAGCCTCAGGGGCCTCAAGATGCTATGAGAAACAAAAGTATGAGAAAGTAGATGTTCTTCAAGCCTGGCAGGGTCACAGAGGTGGTGTCTGAAGAATGAATAGGATTAGAGAGAGCAGAGGAGGGAAGAACATTTTAGGCAGAAGTTAGCACAGTCATGAAAGTGGAAGGAACTGCACAGTGGAGTCTGAGAAGTAACGTTATTTTACCTGGCATGGCCATTTGGTTGTCTGTGTCTCTATTAAAAAGCTACGCAGGACCACACCTACTCTGCAGTATTATACACTATTGTGAAAGAGCTCTATGTGTTTAGATGTCTCCAGCACCAAGCACTGGTGCTTGTGTAGGCATTTAAAAGGCAGTGAGAAATGTCACGAAGGGGAGGGTCATTCCTAGAGCCCAGAAAGGAGTTCAGCTTGCTAGAGAGGGACAAAAATTGCCAGCGATGGAAAGGGAAGGACTGCAAAATATGGAAGCAGGCAGAACATTGGAGCACTGTCCCCTCCAGGGCCCTTCCAGCTAGAGCTGGAGAACTCAGGACTGCCTGATCACGCTTTGTCAATATTTTGAAACTCTCTGTTTAGCCTGCATCTGTGGCAGGGTGGGAAATGCACGGCGTTTCCTTCATCTACGTCGATGGTAAATGCTAATTGGCCACACTTATCTTTTCCAACTAGTATAGACATTGCTTCAGAGTCCTTCCTTAGTGGTAGCCAAGTAAAACCTACGTTTAACACAGGAACTAAAGAACTGTAAGAAAACGAATGTGTGCTGTGCTAAGCCCCCAGGTCTGTAAGTATTTGTTACAGCAGCCGCGGAAAAGGAACAGGCCTGATGATCTGATGTGGCGCTCAGGTCTCAGCCTCCCTGCCTTTCCTCAGCAGCAGCAGAGTCGAACGTGTGCTGGCATCTACATCTTGCTTTAAAGCTAACTCTGCCATGACTGTGAGGCTGGTTTTCTTCTCTGGAAAAGGATCGTATCACCTCCAAGTATAGACAGTTCTACTTCGTTCCTATTTGAATCCCCCCACACTTTATTTCCTTTTTCTCTCGCCTGATTGTCCGGGCTAAAGTTTTGTTTTTTTTTTTTTTTTTGGTTTTTCTCCAGTACCAGGAACCGAACTCAGGACCTTGCACTTGCCAGGCAGGCGCTTTGCGGCTGAGCTAAATCCCCAGCCCCTCGGGCTAAAGTTTTGAGTAAAGCACTGTTATGGTTTGTGTCTGGTTGTCCCTCCAAAGCCTCATGCAGTCATGGGGCAGGCTTCTAGAGTTTGTGATTGATCGATGGTCCATTGCTGGGATCATGGGTGTGAGTGCTACACCCACCCTGGTGTGGGCAGTGTGCATACCATGTAAGGGAGGGAAAGGGGCTGCTTGCCACTCCTCTCCTTTTTGCTCTTGTAGCTTTTGCTGTCTTCCACCACCATGAACAGTTACTCTGTGCTATGTGCCACTCTGCCTTGGAGCCAGCCAAGTGTAGACTGAAGCCTCCACAGACTGTGAGCTCAATAAACTTTTCCTTCCTTAATACTGAGTGCCGGGTATTTTTGTCCCAGCAATGAGAGAAAAGTAACCAAGACAGGTACGGAGGAGAAGTGGCTAGAGTGCACTCTTGTTATTACTGATTTTAGTTTCTCTCCATTTAGTCTGAGGATTGAAGCAGGTTTGTCATAGATGGTTTTTGTCAGTATGAGGTCAGGTCTTTCTGTACCTATTTACTTTCATTTTGTTTTCTCAGGTACATTTTAGATATATGTAGTGATAACATTCATCATAGGGAGTTTGTACCTGTACATGATATGTCTTATTTCTTTTTGTCCTATTCCTCTTCCCTCCCTTCAACCCCTGTTGTACTTATTTCCAAAAACTTTGCTTCCAATTTTTTCCCTCTATTCTCTTTCTTGCCC